GCCCCGGCCGCCGGCCAGCTGCGATTCCAGGGAGCCCACCAGGTCGCTGACCGCCTTCTCGTCCACCTCCCCCGAGAAGAGCAGCATCTCCTCCAGCGGGTCCGACGCGCCCGCCGCCATCTTCCGCTGAGCTGGGAGCCGGCGGCGCAGCGCGCAGGCGCGCCGGCCTTGCCGCGCGCTGGGCATCCTGGGAGGGGCCGGCCTAACAGCCCGCTTCTTCCCCCGCCGCCGGGGGGGGCGTCTCGCTCGCAGTCAAGCGAGATGAAAGCTGGGCATTTTCTATCTCGTTCAACTCGTATATGTGTATATATATATATATATATTATATTTCAACTCATATAAATAAAAAAAATTATAAATATTTTTTATCTAGATCTAGATAGAGTTATATATCTATAGATATGTATCTCTATATAGATACTTCTGTAGATAGATCTCTATGTAGAGATATCTATACAATACTCTGCAGCATAAGAAGGCTACTAAAAAGTGCCAGTTACTAGAGCTATCTCTATATAGCGAGATATTACAGAGATCTCTCTCTCTCTAGCTATAGATATCTCTCTGTATATATAGATATATATATGTAGCTCTCTCTCTCTCTTTCTCTCTATATATATAGAGAGAGAGAGAACTATATTTATATATCTATCTATATATTTTCCCCCCACAAAAAAAATTACCCCTTTCTAGAGCTTGAATGCTGAGGAGAAGCAAGAGCCGGCGCTGGTTTTATTATTGTTGCTGTTTGAAATGCATGGTGATATTAATTAGTACTGTTATTAAAATGCTTATTATTATTATTGAATTTGCTGAATTGAATTTGGAGATTAGTTGTATGTGGATGAAATTATGTTTTATATTATTATTACTAATACAGGTTTCCCTCTCTTTATGCTGTACGTGTGTGCCTGGAAAATGGTGCGTAACTCAAATTTGCCTAAAGGGAACCCACTTTACAATGTAACAAATAGGGATATGTTCCGAGACCTTGACCGTACTGAGCCCCAGACCCATTTCTACCACTTTTAGAAGACAATTTTGGCACTCACCCACAGCAGATAGTACACGCAAGCACAGGACACGATCATAATGGGGATGGCAACTACAGAAACACGTGTCAGAGACAACAAGCGAGGAGCACAGATCCATGCAACAGACTATATTTTGGTGCGCGTCACTCCCACAATGCACCTTACAAAGCAAGTGACTCTGGGCTTCCACCACACTGATTGCGTAAGAGTGAATTTATCTCGCATATAATGAATTTTTGGTATAAGGAGTGTCATTGCATAAGAGTGAATTTGCACATACAGAACCTGCATAAAGTGAGAGAAACCTGGAATAATAAATTCATCCAAGTACTAATTTAAAGATTCACAGACGTTTAGGGCTGGAAGAAATCTCATAAGATCATCAGGTCCAGCCCCCCTGCTCTGGGCAGGAAATAACCCCAGCAAGGTGTGTATCCAGTTTCCTTCTGGAGATCTCCAAAGTAGGTGCCTGCACCACCCCCGCTGGGAGTCTATTCCAGATTCTGGTCACACAAACTGTGAAGAAGTTTTTTTCCTTATTACCAGTCTGAAACCTTCATCTAGGAGTTTGTGGCCATTGCTTTTGGCTCTAGATCCATGGGCCATAAAACTACGAGCAGACTGGTATCTTCCCTCCCAGGCCCTAAGAGTTCAGATACTCCCCATATCCAGGCAGGCATCTTCCCAGGCCTGGAAGACAGGGAGTTTAGATGCCCCCAGTCATGCTTGATCATAGTTGAAAGTGACATTGTTACTACACAAAACAGGGTGGTAGGAGGAAAGTCCACCTGAAAGCAGGGAGTGTCCTGGGGAGCACTGTTTCTTTTCCAGAGAATGGGAGAGCACAAAAGATGAGTGAGAAGAATAAGGAAATTAAAAGGCAGGGGGTCTGAGATGAAGACACTGTGAGCTGGCAGCAGCTCCCTTTTTCTTAGATCGGCCATTCCCTTTGGCTGCCAGCTACAGGGGAAGAAATGTTTTGAAAGTGGAAAGACAAAGAAACCATATTCTTCTTCCTCTACTCTCAATTCAGCCACTTGCTTACTCATCCCTCTGTTATGTTTTGTCTTGTGGGGTTGGAGAACTGTCATTCTCTGTAGAGTTCCAAACACAAGGATGCAAAGCACAGTTGAAAGCCTTGGATGTTGCTGAAATGTTCAGTTATGGTATTTACCTGAGACAACAAGAAAGCTCATCATCAGGCTGGCATAGTTAATGCTACACACACCTTGGGAGTTCTAGCAAGATACCTTCATCACTTTGCCACTACAACTACATAGAACTGTAAACTAACAATCCTTAAACAATAATTACTAAAATATAGGAATAACTGCACCGTAAATGTTTTAACAATGTAATTGATTACGACCACAGCAGATTAAATTACAATTGGGTGGCAATTTGATCTATCTGGGGGTAATTTGAAGTTTCTGTAGCAGAAAGAAAAAACATCCTGGAAGAGGGGGAAAATGATAGAAAGAGAACAGGGGATAGAAAAAGATGAGAAAGAAAGGGTAGATATAAAGTGGTCTTGCCATCCCAGAAATCATAACTAAAAATCAAATTCAGACCTTTCCAAAGCCATGTAATCTTGCTTAATCACATAAGAAAGTCCATTGCGGAGGTCTCAGATACATTGTCTCTCTCCAGAAATGTAAACCTTCCAAAAAGATGTAAATCCTTCCAAAAATAAAATTAGCTTGATTTTTCTGTTACAGCAAGAGCTTCATACTACTTTCTGAGTGCAAAGGGGCATCATAGCAAGACGTCGTGGCCCTAAAAGACCTCCCTTATCCAGAAGACCTTTCCAATCTGTAAAACTCACATAATAGTTACTTGCATAGTAGTATAGGACTTGCATAGTGGCCCTGGTCCAAAATACTAAGAATATCATCCCCTTCATTGTTGTCTCAGTGGCAAGAACAGAATATATAAGACTGAACCCAAATGCTCCCATTTCTTCCCTTTTGGAATATAGAAACCTTAGATGTATTTGCACAAAAAATAACAGCAAAATTAATATAGATTTCCCCTGTTTTGGCCCACTGCTTCATTTATGAGTTTAATCACAGTTCAGGCTTTGCCCTACAAACTTAGTCAACAATCCTGTAAATGCATATGTTTAACTGTGCCTGTGGGACCAGCCCCATTAAAGCTTTAGTTTCCTAACTGAAATCTGTGCAAGAACAGCTAAGGCCACATGAACAAGCCAGCATGAGGTAAACTGCCAAATAATTTAGGTCAACTTATTGTGTGAACTTACAGGCAGCAACTATTCTGTGATAACTAAGTGCATCTCTTACTGCAGTGGTCACCAACCTGGGGATCCCAATCTACAGGTAGATCCCAGATCCTCTTTTAGTAGATCCTGGGCTGGGGGGACTGTTGTGCATGTGCACATGCACACACCCGTCGCCCCCAGCCCCAGCAGGTCAGTCTGTCAGGGAGGGAAGGGGCAGGGGCCAGATTGAGGCCCCTGCAGTGAACAGCTGACCATGTGGACCAGCCAGGACCAGTGAAAGGTAAGTGGGGCCCCAGCCCAGCTGGGTGGTGGGAGGATTGGAGCCTGGGGGTGCTTCTCCAAGGGTGCGGGGGGCTCCTACCCCAGAGTCAGCAGGAACAGCAGCAGTGATGGGCAGGGAAGAAGGGGAACGGAAGGGACAGAACATGTCAAGGAGCAGTGGGGAGTGGAATCTTACTTCATCCAGGAACTTATAAAGTCCCAACTGCTGCTCCTATGGTATCAAATGAAAGCGGGGTACATTTGTACCACTGTACCCTTTCCAGATCTACCTCTGGATCTGGTCAGGGATCAGGTGCCTTGGCATTCACTTACTATGCAGGCCCCTTTACCACAGTGAATTTGTGTAGTCACACATCTACCACTTGGGGTGGGGACTGCATAGCCAAGCCACGGCCTTGGGTTTGGTGGATATGCAAGTACACAAATTTATTGGGGATAAATGGGGACTGCATAGTAAGTGAATGCCAAGGCAATGTAAATACTTGTGCATGTAAACACTGATTGAAGGGAATTAAAGTGTAAGCTATCAATTAGCTTTCATTTGCTGCAAGCTAAGAGTATAGGTACACCACTGAGTAGCTGATGTGCTCTAAGTTCCCACCCTTGAC